TCATCTTACAAAGGAAGATGGAGAGTTTGAATACAGAAATGCGTCTGTTTAGCTGGGATCTGCAGATTCTCTTGTCTGTACATCTGAATTAAAGGTGCAAGCAGGTTGCGTTGCTCACATCACAGGCTTCAGGAGATATTTCACCGTTCCTCTGTAGAAACGGAGCGTGGTCCCATGAACACTGAAATGGACTGTCGCCCCTGAATGTCTCTGGGATAAAGTGTAGTGACAAGTTGTGTCTTGCAAAGGATCAATCACTTTCACAGTTTATGGTCCACCCTTTCAAACCTGGATGGTGTGGAGCCTCTTCTGACTGATGGGTGAAGAGGGCAATGAGATGTCCCTAGTGAATTTTTCATTGTGGTCTTGTGTCCTTTCACAAGGTCTCAGCAGCCTGGAAAGGACTGCATCTCCCAAAACATAGGTACGAAATACAAAGCAATATGCTAGAAACAACACAGAGAAGGAGAATTACGTCATCTATGCAAAAAGGAAGGGTAGCATTGAACACATCTATAGATCTTCTTTTTTCCATGTGGGAGGGAGGGGGCATATATTTCCTATACAACAATAGGATGTATGCTGCGTAACAGGTACCAGATGGGTGTTTAAATAACCTTCAGCTGCAACATGTCATGCTGTTATCTCATTATCCCTTACAAGTTAAATGGGTTCAAGCTGGGCCTGGACATGGATGAGATGTCTAATAGTGGTGGTGAGGCTGACATTGATGGCAATTTCCTTGAACAGCTGTCTGGAAGCTCCAAGTGGAGTACAGACCCTGCAACACACAGTCCACAGTGCAACGTCTTGTTGCCTGCTGTGTTGTGCTGATGAGCACATTGTTCTTCTGTCTCAATGCCCTCCTGTGCCCTGGGCACAGTTTTGGCATCCTGTCATGTATGGACACTGCCCTCCCGACCAGCATAGGGGTGGTGGGGGTCAGCCAGCAGTGGGTCATCTTGAATCAGCTGCCGCAAGCTGAAAGTACTGAAAACTTGTGGTGGAGAAGAACTTTCAGAAAGTGTTTGGGGTGCAGTATTTGGCTTAGGGTATCTGTGATTTGTGGTGGTGTTCGGCAGTGGAAGTGGTGTGGTGGCAGGTGAGGGTGTGGTAGAGGTAAGGACATGGCGAGGATTACAGGAGGAGGGAAGGTAGGGATTTGGGGAGTAGGGGTATGAGCTGAAGGATATGGAGTGTTTGCAGTGAGTAATTCGGAGTGCTTAAGCTATTGTGATAGGGGAGGCGGTGGAGATGGGGTGGGTGTGTCACGAAGGGAGAGATAAGGGATGCAGAGATGGAGTACTTAAGGCCAAGGATGAGGAGAGAAGAAAGTCCCAGATGAGAGCTTTGCCTGGCCTTACTCTGCTTTTAGCGTGTTGAAATTTTCTGTCACCCACCCACAGTTTGATTTGTATGTTGTTGGTTTAAAGTCAGCATACTCGGGACTTTGAGCTCGCAGCTCCGTGGCAGAGAGCCTAGAGAATTTGGGATATGGCTGGTTAGCGTGGCTTTCGGATCACGAGGCAGCATACTTCGCAGTTGGCTGGTGAGCCAAGAAACACAGTGTCTCCAGCCAGGGGACAGGAGGCGAGGAATCGGTGTTGCAGCCCTGCCTTGAGTTCATGGAGTGCAAGATGTTTCCAGGTAAGAATTGTAGAGTCAATGAATCTATGCTTTTCCCAGAAAAAAGTCTGTATTTTTGTTGGAGAATGTGTAAGGTCCTCAATATTTCCAAGTGCTTTATGAAAGAGGTTTGGTAACATGACTGCTGTTTTACACGATGTGCTGGGCTGGCAGGAGGTTCTTGCTGAAGTTTTCTAATTGGAGAAGAAGTGGGAGACTCATTTTTCCCTACAAAAAAAAAGTTTAATTTCTACCTAAACACATATCTTCTCTCCCTGCCTTCTGACTCTGGCTAGACGCTCTCTAATGCTCAGAGTTTTTCTGAGGGGAGGTTGGTTTATTTTTACCCTCCCCCCTTCCCCCGCCATGTGTGGTTTGGGTTTGTTTTCTCTCCCTGCTTCAATTTCAGCATCATCTTCCAAGTGCTCCTTATCCTAAACACAGAGATGAGGCAGTGACAGGAAAGGGCTGCCACTCTGACGTACATTGGGATTTTTTTAAGGGTGGGATTGTGGTGGGCTTTATCCAAATACAGAGCCTGGCTAAGCTCTGAGGACTACGCTAATGCTGTGGAAAGGCTCTGACTCACTGGAATGTGTTCGCTGACCTTTCTGTGATGTGACAGTAGCAATAACACAAGACACCAAAATCCACACTGATGTTGAGCAAACATTGTCTAATCCTAGCAACACCCAGGGAGTCAAGAGACTGTCATCCTCTTGCAGGTAGGAAAATTGAGGTTTGCAGATGATTAAAGTTCTTCTTAACATGGTAGTTCATAGCAAAGGGTTTAGCAATTCTGTTCTGTCTTTGAAATCTTTACTCAAGAGCTTAAGCCATGATTTGCCTTGGGCAGACTTAAAAATATTTGTCCAGGGTACAAAATCAGAGTCCCTTGGGTCAGTGTGTGCTGCTGTGCTGTGTGAAGAGGGCCAGTCCAACAAGGAAAGGTATGATGAACTTGGGATTTGGGTGAAGTGGAACATCATATACCTGTCCAAATAAATCTGCCTGTGTGAAATAATTCCTTTGATTTTGTCTGAACCCTTGTAAAATTCTGATGTACCAGTAGGTTTGGGTTTTTTTTGTTCTGGTTGCTGTCTCTAGAAAATGCAATTGAGAGGTTCTTCCCTACAACGGGAGAAAACAATTTCCCATCTGGATGCCCCACCGTAGAGCCCTTTTGCCTGAGCCTGTGTTGCAGGCAGAGACCAGAGTCTCACTGTGCTGTACAAGCAGAAGGAATAACCAGCCCTACGGACTGTACAGTGGTTGGATACAATGGTGGTCCAGACCAGAGCTTTACCTGCTCTGTACTGGTACAGCACCTACCCAGAGCAACGTACCGCAGCTGAGGATCAAGCAAGGTTTATCAATGCTGCTCAGGCCCTTTGGCTATGGTGAATGCTGACAGTCTCTGCAGAGACAAATGTGATTTTTAATCTGGTATCAAGTGGTTTTGAGCAGATAGAGCTACGCAGGTCCTGTTACCTGGTAGGGATAGGAGTGAAAGGTAGGGGAGAGAAGGTGTTTAAAGCCATGCTTGATCTACAGTCTTGGTGTGGGTGAGGGAAGCTGCCATCTCACATTTCTTGCCCCCCATGGGACCTTCCTTGAAAGGTAAAGTTTTACAGATAAGTGCAAGGTGACAAGCTGGCATGGCACTTCTCTGCTTTTTATAGGGTGAGACCTGGTGCTGAAACCCATTTGATCTTTCAGTCATACCAACTCCATCAAGCAATGATAGATGGAGAAGGTCTTTCTCAGAACAAGGACAGGGAATTATTTAAGAGCCGAGCAGCCAAACTGGCTCTGCCCCTCCACAGACCGCTGTGTGCTCCGGAGGGAGAAGGGATGGAGTGACGCAGACCATTGGAAAAAATGAGAGGTTTGTGTTTATATGAGCAGGAGATGCCAAGACTGCAATAGTGACAGGCTTTGAGGAGAAGTGT